TTAAAACTAAGTTTTACTTTTCTCTTATCATATTCGGTCAAAAGATTATCTAGTTTATCGCTACTTTATTATTAATGGAATAACTTTTAACTAGTTTAGCTTAAAACCAAACATTAGCTTCTTTCAAAGATGTTACACAAGAGACAAACCTTCTTGAATAACTTGAAATTAGGAATGTAAATTTGAATATGTTAACAGAGATTCCTGTGGAGATTATCTGTTTTGAGCTCTGAAGATGAGGATTTTATCCCCGCGGGGATGAGGATGGAAGGAAAAATCCCCCGATAACACTTTGGGGCGGGGATTGGGGAAGTACCCTCCGCCCCGCGGATTCCCCGACCCTGACCATATTCTTTAAATTTTATATTTAGTTATATAATTTTACATGTTTTTTATAAAAAATAATTAATATATTAGGATGAAGAGTCATTAATGGATAATTGCCTTGAAATTAGTGATTATCATCCAATTATATTTTGTTATGCATTGTGGGATATTTATGAGCGTATTATTTTAGATATTTGAAAATTCTAATTTTCTATTTTTTTATATGTATTATGATATATTTAGGTTATGAGTTTTTGTATGATTATACATGGTAACAACATGTTCAGTTGGATCTTTATTATTTTAAAGTAAAAATAAATATTAACAACTGCAAATACTTCTGTTTTTTTGTTTCTCATTAATGCAAATACTTTTGCGTTTTTGTTTGCTACTGATGCAAGATGTGTTTTTTTTAAAAAGAATGATGAAAAAAATATAATACATTTATAAAAAAGAAAAATAAATACTAGTGTCATAGTTTTGATAAAAAATTATATAAATTTTTCTTAAGAATCGATATTCGTGGATATCCGTGGAAACCGTGGGGATGAGGATGGGGACAAATTTTCCCTCGTGACGGGGATTGAGGATGGGAATAGGGAAAATATTGGGGGTGGGGTGGAAAGCGGGGAAGCATCCTCCGCATATTCCCTGCCCCGTTGACATCCCTACTTGAAATGTTTTCACAACACCAAAACTATAAAATCATTAGATATATATTTTTTACTCTCAAAGCACTAAGGCAATTAGTGAAGAAAAAAGATAATGAAATAGAGATAGTAGAAAAGTGGAGAATGTATGATTGAAATACATATTTCAGTGTGTTTTGAAATGAGGAGAAACCCTCTATTAATGGAGAAAAATTTGGCTCAAAAAAGAAAAGATCCATGGGACTTTTAATGATCTAATCAGTCAAGTACTAAGGTTAATCAATTAGAAGGTTCAAAATGACGATAACCCTAATCCCGACAAGGAAATCCTATAACAGTTATGTGTCTTAATCGATTAGGAGTACTTATAATCGATTGATAAGTCTTTTTACAAGTTCTAATTGATTATACTAAGTCCATAATTGATTAGGCAAATGTACAAATACTTCTTAAGTAATTAAGAACTCTCATGGTCAACCCCACATGCACTTTGATGATTCCTTCATAGGTCTTAAGGTATTTTTAGCAAATGATAGAGGTTTAGAACTATTTTTAAGTGTGTGTGTGTGCATGTGTGTGTGTGTGTGCGTGCGGTGAGTGAGTGAGTGAGTGAGAGAGAGAGAGAGAGAGAGAGAGAGAGAGGAGAGAAGAGAGATGAGAGAGAGAGAGAGAGAGCGATGAGAGAGGAAGAGATAGAGAGAGAGAGAGAGAGACGAGAGAGAGAGAGAGAGAGAGAGGAGAGAGAGAGGAGAGAGGAGAGAGAGAGAGAGAGAGAGTAGAGGAGAGAGAGAGGAGAGAGAGAGAGAGAGAGACGAGAGGAGGAGAGGAGAGAGAGAGAGAGGAGAGAGTGAGAGAGAGAGGAGGAGAGAGAGAGAGAGAGAGAGAGAGAGAAGAGAGAGAGAGAGGAGAGAGAGAGAGAGAGAGAGAGGGAGAGAGAGAGAGAGAAATTTAAGAATTACTTTTATATCTTTAGAATACAATAATCACTCAGACATGAACCAAACAACCTTTCACACTTCCTCTCTTTCACAATCTTTGAAGCTTCAAGATCCTTTGCTTGATTCATCACTTCATATGATACTTGACTTCTCATTAATAATAAGGTTTGATAAAGCTTACTTAAAAAACACCATCATCCAGATTACTTGACTTGACTAGAGATCATTAGAGACTCCACCAAATGTTTGTATGACATTAGGTGTTATCTTTATTGAATCCTACTTGATATCTTGATCTTACAAACAAACATCTTGATCTGGATATACAATATTTTCTCATTACTCATTCTTCACATATAAAGATTCCACATCATGTCGTTTGACATATAATATTGTCATCATCAAAACTATAGTGAACATGTCACTGATGTAGATAGTTGTACATGCAATCACATATATCATTGTGACCAAGTGAAGGTTGATGCAGATGAAGTTGGGTGTTTCCAAGATCTTTAGTAGAACAAAGGCTCGAACAAGGGACTTTCGATAGGGTTGAGTAAATACTATTGTGGAAGGAAGTTTGGAGCAAAACTTTGAGTCTATGAAGATAATTGGTTAAATATCGAGTGGAGATCTTGTGAATTTAGTAGTTTTATTGTTCTTTTACAGTAGAAAGAAAATTTAGATTCAGGCCTTTGTTGGTTTAAACATCGTTTGAATTGAAGTTTTTAATGTTGTCTTGATTGTTCATTGTATAAAAACTCATGTATATTAGTTTGAAAAAATAGTGGAAAAAACTAATGAATTGTTAATGGTTCACCATTGAAGATTATACTAAGTGTCAGCGAGGACGAATGTGGCCGAACTAGTGTTATCCTGATGCACAAATATCTCTTTTAAAATTCCTATATAGGTTTACATGACTTAGACTTTATCGCTTTCTAGAATAATATGTTGCTAGGTTTTATATACTTATGGTGATTTATTGTGTAAGCGTAAGTCTGTTATATGTTTAGTCATTTGAATATTCTTTAAGGCGATTATGTTGTACAAACTCTTAACGATTATATTAACTGTTCAATTAATAAGATTCAATTTAAACCTTACGTGTAAATTGAATTAGTTTAACTAATTCATTTCTTGTTTAAGCATTTTCATCTCTCGTAGTCATTGTATTCTTTAACAATTTGAGCAAGGAGTGAAATCTATTCAAATGCATCCTTAGAAAATTATGTTTTCCCCGCATCCGTTTGTAAATCTCGCTTCTACTTGTAAAACTCTGATTTTTTGAAAATAATTTTAGGGGAACGATCTATTGAACTCTCTTCTAGACTGTTCTACACACCATATTCTCCCCCCCCCCCCCCCCCCCAGATATTTATTATCCTGAGAAACGTCGTGCGTTGGTAGTCTACTTGTACAATTTTAAACACAGACGCGAAACATCTTAAAGAGAGTGACATATTATGTGACTCGATCCAATAATTTCTTCTTTGACAAATTTTTCAAAACTAAAAAACAACATTTAAATTCCAATCAATTCCAAATATTTGTGAGAAGCTTAAGGTTGATACAAAGAAGTAGATAATTTCTTTCTCCACCTGGTTATGTTGAGTTAAACCTCTAAAAATCCAAAAATACCCTTTGGATGTGCATATTCGCAACGCACCCTGTGAATTTGAGATATTGAGTTATTTCAGATATTGCATATCTGAACGAACCCTTATATTTCATTTTCACGGAGATTTCAGATATGCATATCCGAAATAACCCAATATTCAAAATTTCTTTTGATTTTATTTTGAAAAGATATTTATTTATAATATAGTTATAATATAATTAAATTGATTTATTATTAATTTAACGAGATGGGGTCGAAGGGTATCGTATCTCTGTGATCCTCGAACGGTCTCCATATAATATCATCATGAGCCGTCCGATCTAGATACACCCGGAACACTGACACAACGCTATTCCCCCTCTGGAGGATATACCTGGAAGCCAGACATGTCCTCAATATAACCCCTATCATAAGCCCATCCATGGATGCGGTGAAAGTGTGAAATAATCCATCCTTAAAACACGAATAACATATATGTAAGAAAAAAATTATCATTAAATTAAATGTAATAGTTGGAATAAAAATGTACCGTGAGTAGGGTGCAAGAGCCTGTAAGCTGCCTCGTCCTCCATTTACAAGCGTTATTAAGGTTTTGGTATAAGTATACCAAACAACCAACCCCCCAGTTCCACTCATTAATAATGTTCAAATTGAGGAGCGCCACATCAACGTACATAGCACTTTTGTCCACAAAAATAAATATTTCAACCAAGAACAAAAAGAAACACCTCAACTCACACTCACGATGGTACTGAACTAATAACTCATCTCCCTCGGCCTCGACAACTGAAGTCGATATTAAGTGCTCTTCATATGTGTCGCTCAAGAAAGAGAACTTGGCATGTGCCCTATTAGTTGAGTCACAATGCTCAAATGCCTTATCCGACAAAGCCCCAAATAATCAACCATCATTTCAAACGTTGTAGCACGAGTGATCTTTGAATGATTAAGTAACCTCCCTCTGATAGGAAGGTGTAGTAGATATGCTACATCGTCGAGTGTAATCATGATCTCCCCAATCAGAAAGTGGAAAGACGACGTCTCTTTGTGCCACCTCTCGATGAATGTCCTCTGCATTCTGTAACTAATGATAACATAACTAAAACAATAAATTTATGGGCATTTGAAGAATTTCGTCATAGACTCCTAAGAAAATGAAAATGTAAGGGTGCATAAAAATATTCCCTTCTCAAAATCTCAAACTTGTTGCCCCTTGTGTAGGCCCAGTAAAACACAAGAGCCCAACCTATAAGCCACGCGCGCACACAGTCTTTCCCCTCTCTCCAACTATTTATACACAAATCTATATTGTCTAATTATCCATAACAATTCCTTCTTTAACACAGCTCCCTACTTCTTAGCGAGTAAGACACAAAATCATCCCCTCTCTCTCTTTGTCTCTAGAAAACTCCTCTTTTTTCTCTCTTCTTGTCTTCCATCAAGAAAACCAAAAAACAAAAAAAAATGCATAACCCCCATAACCCCACCTTCCACGAATCCGATCCTCAGCTTCCACTAATCAGAATCCACCACCCCCTCCTCCCCTCGCCACCAGTCCGCCGCCACACCCACTCCCACCGCCGGCGCCCGTCGTAAAATCGGCGTAGCCGTTGACCTCTCCGACGAGAGCGCGTACGCTGTACGCTGGGCAGTACAACACTACATCCGTCCCGGCGACGCCGTCATCCTCCTCCACGTCAGCCCTACCAACGTCCTCTTCGGCGCTGATTGGGGGTCCATCGATCTCACCATCAACACCGACCCTAATTCCGAAGAAGAAAACCTCAACAATGTTAACGAAACCCCGACGCCGAAACGGAAGCTTGAAGAAGATTACGACGCGTTCACGGCAACGAAATCAGCCGATCTTGCCAAACCGCTTCGTGAAGCTCAGATTCCGTACAAGATCCACATCGTGAAGGATCATGACATGAAGGAGAGGCTTTGTCTCGAGGTCGAGCGTCTTGGGCTTAGTGCTGTTATTATGGGGAGCCGCGGATTCGGTGCGGCGCGCCGTGGGAGTGACGGGAAGCTGGGAAGTGTTAGTGATTACTGTGTTCATCATTGTGTTTGCCCTGTTGTGGTTGTTCGCTATCCTGATGATAAGGATGCTGCTGAGGCTGTTGTTGCTGTTAAAGAGGGTGATGAGGGTGAGGCTGTTATCAAGCCTCTTTCTGTTGCGCATGAACATAAGAAAGGTTAGGGTTTTTGACCTCTTTGCTTTGATTGTGATGATTTGGGACCTTCTTTTGTTGATAGAATGATTTAGTTTAATTTAATGACGTTTATGGTGGTAGTGTATAGTTTGATTGTTGAACTGGGGTGTTGAAGATTATGATAACAAATGCCACCCTATTGGGATTCCGAAACCGACAACGATACCTGTGATCATGATTAACTTTTTAATTTTTTCAAATTATTAATTGCTGGCGTTGGCATGTTATGTTGCATTTTTGGTGTCCATGTTTCATAGTTGGGAATATATTTTGTTTTTGATAGGACCTATTTGGATTTTAGTCAGTTTGTTTATGGTTGGTTAGAATTGGTGTAATTGTTGTAGATGTCTTTAGTGAAACTCTTAAAAGAAGGTTTTGGTTCTGGCTTGGTGATTAATTGCTTATAGCATTGTTTGAACTTGGATCAAGAGGGCTTTCTATCTTTGGTCTTTTTGGGTGGATTGCTTAAAGTTCATATGACTTAGTAGTGATAAATCAATGTGCACTGTGATTCATGAATCATTCTTGATAGATTGTGGACTTTAGAAGTTGGATTTCAATGTATCGCATGTGTTTCATTTTGATAGTGAATAATGGATTGGTTTTACTTACAAAGCTTGTGATAAGGTTTGTCATTTGATTCATGGGATCTTTCAAATGCATCCATACGCAGCATTGACTCCTACACAAGCACACAACACCTGCACTCTGACTTTGACACCGGTAATGTAGAAAATATAGGACATCGGCACTGCTACATTTACGATAGAATTTGATCTTCATTAATCCATCTACTATTAAAAAAGTTAAAAAATTTCTAATGAAATTTAATTTCCTTAATCCATTATTGATCAACATTGGTTTGACACATCTTATATCATTTTAGATGTGTTTTAGATTTGTCCAAAATTTTTACTAAGTATTGTAAAAAAAAACAAAGAACAAACAATTTCTTTTTGGAACACTTGTGTGAATTGTCCGACACGTGTCGTATGAGTGACATTAGGGTGTTGGTTACCGATTCAAAAACTGTCCATTGAAAGAAAAAACCATTTTTTGGATCACTGTTTGAGTTTTCCGACACATGTCATTCGAGTGTCATACAAAGAGTCAAACACTGATGCTTGTTAGACATTGCGACATGCCTAATTTAGAGGTGTTTGGGCTTCATTAGGACTAGGTATTCCTTAACTTTGTGGGTGGCAGGGAAGAACCTTGTGAGACAACTGCAAGCATATGATTTTCCAAGTCGTAGCCCTAGTGAGCCATTTCAACATGCTTGATCAGCTTGTTAACTTGTTTCACTACTGTGCTTCTCTGTTTTGGAGTAAATGTGAATTGGATTTCAAAATTATGATTCTTAAAATTATCCGGGCTTTTTTTAATTTTATTTGTGTAAAGTCCATGAAAACTATGGTAAGTATAAATTTGATGAGCTCTATAAGTGAATGTTAAAACCTATGTTGCCTATCTCAGACTGGGGAGCAGAGAGGCTGCCCCTAAAATCGTAATTACTTCTGTGAGATGAATGCTCTTTGATATATTTTGGACATATTACACAGTTAATACTTATAATGCATAATTCTACAAAATGAATCAAATTTCTGAATTTATGAGATATACATGTAAATACTGATGAAGTTTGAGGAGTATTTTGGACAAATTACACGGATAATACTTAACAAGGCTTAATTGTTACAAAATGTATCAAATTACTCAATTCATAAAATTTTCATAACTAGAAGCAAAGGTCACAAATTTTGGGCAAAAATGCATGTAAATACCGACAAAGTTTGAGGAGTATTTTGGTGCAATGCCCTACATTATTTACACTACAATGTAGTATTGTTGACAATATAGGTTAAATATGTGACTGATTTTGTGAAGTTTTATTTATATTTCTAGTTTGTTTTGTCATTTATATTATTCTGTTGATAGATAGTATTCTGTTGATATTTAAAAGTCTTGCCTGAAATGGGTTTTTGATTAATTGAATTAGTTTTTTAATCTTAGAAGTAAATTTTATCTGTATTTATGCTTTATTGGTTTTGTTTTAGTTATTATGCATTTTATCTGCATTGCTTGGATTGAAAGTCAATTTTATCTGTATTTATGGTTTGTTGGTTTTGTTTTAGTTTGTATGCATTTTATCTGTTGATTTCATTTAATTTGATATTGTTCCTGCTGTCTGCTAACAGATTATCATGTATTTGAATAGTTATTTTTCTGTGTAAATTAGAGTTGTATCTACACGTAATTTCAATGCAATGGTGGATATACATTTATATTTGTTGTGTGATTGAAAACTAACTTTGCAATTGTTTGCTGGATTGGTGCAGAAGATTAGTCGGAGTCAATTGATCACTTCAACCCTGTCTCCGCAGGTGTGCTCTTACACCTTTTTGTCCCTGCTATATTATTTAAAAAGCTTGTCCCCGATATAAGTAGTACAGTTCCGATGATTATGAAATCTGTTTCTTGTTCAAGTGTGTAGTCTTGTTCAAATGAGGATGAGAGATGGGAGATTTCAATGAAGAAGAGGGGAGGGATTGAATGAGATATTGTGTTTGGTTGATAGGATTGGAGTGGATTTTTAATGAAGGGGAGAAAAGAGATTGAATAAAATATTGTGGTTGATAGGATTGGAGTGGAGAGAATTTAAATTGAGAACTATTTTCCTATGAAATACACACAGACAAATGATCATATTTTATGCATTTGCTTTTGTTTTTGGATTTTTCACTCTATTGCAGAATGTAAAAGGCCATCTTTCTCTTCCTGTCAGGTTGTACTATTGAGCATGTTCCTGGTTGTTAACTCTGGAAAGATTATGGCTTGATGATTTTGGTTCCTTATAGCTGTCGGAAGGTTATGTTTGGTTCAGAAGTAGTGGCATATACTGTTTCATGTAGATGTACAAGTTTGCTGTGTGACCCTTGGGGTTATTTCCCATACTGTACCCGATGGAATTATCTTGAAGAGCACTTATTTAGCTAGTAGATAAATTCATAGAGCTATGTTATTGTTGATGGGACTATGTCTGTTTTGAGTTCAGCACGATTATCTGTTAAAGAAAAAAAACTGAACTGAAATCTTGTTGATGACAACCCAGGAATGTTTAGCCTACCAACTCAATTAATTTTTTTAACTAAACTAAAAATTTACCTATAGAGAGTACCAACTAAAGTCTAATCCATCAAAGGAGTTTTGTTATTTTAAAACTCAACTAGATCTCCTACCTCTGCGATACACGCAGAGGCAGATGGATAGTATAGTTTAGGGGTGTTCGCGGTGTAGTTTGGGCGGTTTTGAAGCAAAAAATCATCTGAACCGCAAGAGAAAAAAATATGCGGTTCGGTTTGGTTCGGTTGGCTTTTAAAAATAAATTCAAATCAAATTAAATTAATGTGGTTTGGATTGGTTCGGTTGTTTTGGTTTTTTACAAAAATAATTATTATGTCATACATACAAATATATAGGAAAATATAATTTTATATTTAATTGTTCATACATTAGCATAAAAAATTTATAATTGTCAAAATAAATTTATAATTTGATACATAAAATTGCGTATTATAATTTTATCTAAATCTAAATAATGATATTAACAAGATTGCATTCTTAAATAAATATTATACAAATAATATGATAAAATATATTTTGTGAAAATAGTATTTATAAATGAATAATATTTTATTTTTTATGATTTGTAAATTAAAATGAATATAATACAAAGTATGATAAAATATAAACATAATACATGTTGATTTCTCTAAAGAATTATAGAAATATATATTGGTTAGTAAGATTTTATAACATAATACGGTTTTGTTTGGTTTGGTTCGGTTTGTAAAATGCAAACCGCAAACCGAACTGAACCATGCGGTTCTACGAGAAAATGATCCAAATACATCCGAACCAAATGCGGTTTTTTGCGGTTTCGATTTGGTTTGGTTCGGTTTTGCGGTTTTCTATTGGGCTGTTTTGGTTTTGAACACCCCTAGTATAGTTTGATGGGGTTCAATTGAATTCAATGGTAATGAAAAAACAATCAAAATTCCTATATATTTTGCCTTTTGAAACACTAGAGATTTTTTTTTGCACCACAAATTAATTTTTTTTTTTAAAAGTTATATTTTATTATTATTAGATTTTATATTTTCTCTAATCTTAAACTCTTTCAGAAAATTCTTTCAAAAAGTTTTAAGAGAAAAGGAGATTAGAGTTTGAGTAATTGTTGGAAATTCAGTTAATGGAGAATAAGTTACTTGAACATTGGGTGTATTGCATGAAGGGATAGAGGGGGACATGACCCGCAATCTTTTCTAGGACGTTTTCTCCATTGATATGTTTTATGAATTTTGGGTGCGATTATGATTAATTTATGATAATTATGATATTTGATGTGTAAATTTGTATTTAATATGTTGCTGAATTTTATGCTTATTGATTGTATGTGAATCTGAATTACATGAACACTATTGTTGTGAATTTAGTGCCTTGAACATAACCTTATTTTCATGATTGATTGATGACTATTTTCATAATTTTCATGCCTCTGAAATCATGCTGCTCCTTCCATGGATCTCCCCATCGACAGTGGTCTCGGATCTTTCCATTGATAACGGTCTCCAATATTTTGATATTGATTGCTGCTTTTTTCTATTGTATTTTTTCCATTTTTCTACGGTTAAGCTTTTTTTGATCAGTGTGACTTTCATGGTATCACCCAAGCTGTTTTTACATAGACTTTGAATTCATAAAAGACTCAAACTATTTTTCTTAAAAAACTCATACTCAATTTTCTACTGCTATCTAAATGTTAAATTAATAGAGTACCAATAGTAGCGGCAGGTGAACGGAGCATCTTGCAGGTTGACAACAAGAACAAGATGGAGGTGCTTCAGGTTTTATTTTTAAAATTAATCAAAAAGCAAGACACATGGTAGAATATAAAACAATGAAATGATCAAATGGATGATATTAGTTCAAAGTCACATGCCTTTCCTGCTATAAAGTCAGGGAACCTGCTTCCATAATTGTTATATAGTTATTATGTGTCAAATTCTGAGCGTTTGGTTTTTTACGAAATCGAGATCGGAGGTCTGGAAGGCCTCCAATGATGAAAAACGAAGAAATTCTACATGTTGAAGCGGTTATGGAAGTCACCTTTGTGATAGAGTATCCTTCAGTCCAATTAGTTGACAGACGTCAGCTTTGTGACGGTCTACCCGTCACGACCATGTTGATTTTGTTCAGATGCAGTTTTCATCATAACTTGAGTTTCGTAACTTTACTTGAGGCGCAATTTGAAGCGTTAGAAAACTAACACATAATACTATCTCATGATGATGCTCTAAGAGGTTAAATATGAATTTAAGGAAGTGAATAAAATGTTTTTCTTAAAGTGTAATGTTATGAAAAATTAATGATGTGAAACGCGTTTATTTGTTGTGATTGACTAAATGTCCTTTGGTGATAAAGTTTAGGGTGTTGTATTAGTGATATATCATAAAATATCATTGGTGATGTATTATGGTTACATATGTGGTTCCGATAAGGGCCATTGGTGATGAATCTCCCATGACATTATTGTGCATTTTTACGCATCAAATATTTAGGTTTCGGTGATGAGTTGGTGATGGGACTTAATCAATAATATAACTCTGATTATCTAAAATATTGGGGATGAGATTATTTAGTACTATAAGTCTAACATCCAAATTAGTGAGTAGGATTGGTACCACATACATATGGTGATGAGGTGATAAGAACATGCATATACGTTGCATTATCTGGTGATGTTTATAATTGTAATAGGTGATGATTATGATTGTATCGGTGATGATTGTGATTGAATTATGAATAACTAATATGAATGGTAAATGTGTGAATATGATATCCTTGCTATGTTTTGCACCATTAATATATTTGAGCGAATTCTCACCCTTTTTTTGCTATAGTGTTTGTGCTCCTTTGGGGTACAGACAACCAGGTTAAGGAGTAACTGTTTGAGGTAGATAACGTTGATTCCCCCTTAGTTGCTTTATCGTTCAGTTCTTTAGCGGAGTTGCTCTGATATGTAACACTGGGGATACGTTGTTTTATTTTTCTTATTACACGTTTTATGTCATTTTGGAGTTGTTAAATCAACTTTGTTATTCTGTGATTGATGAGACCTTTATGTCAATTTTTTTGTTGTTTTTCTGCTGCACAATTTGAAAGAATATATTGGATTGGTTATTTTATATTTGTTGAATCATGAGTGACACTCTAATTGTTTGAGTTATTTATTGAATTATCTTATTTTATGTCGAGTCGGGAATTAGGGTGTTACATGGCACGAACATAACATTTCAGGGAGTAGTTCTGTTCATAAGTCCTTGGCACCGTCAAGCTTCTTCTTAACTTCTTTAAGAATTACTTTGTTCGTTGACTCAACTTGACCATTAGCTTAAGGGTCCACAATCGATATGAATTTCATTTTGTGATATGGTGGCAGAACCGACTGTTTAATACTGGTTTTGTGTTTGTGTTCGCAAATGTTGCGGTAAGCAAGAGTCGCCATCGACTTTTATTTTATCCAAATTAAAGAAAGGGTGAAAAGTACAGAAAAGGATCTTTTCGAGATTTTTTGAGTAAGGGGGTAGATTATAGAAAGGGAAGATGTTAGCACCCTTTCCATCCGTAGTTATCTACAGGCTCTTAGAGATTTGCTCATTTTAAAATACCTTTGTGCTTTGTGTGTTTGAAAATGTTTTAAAAACGCCTTAGTACGACGAACTTTGTAATGTTTCTCGGAAAAGTAGAGAAAGTATACAAAGTGTTGAAAATGTCTTTGAAAATTAGTTTTTGTGTGAGTGTAAAAAGATGTTTTTGAGCATCCTTCTAACAGCTATCTACTTTTGTACTCGAAAAAGGGTCGTTATTTTTCTCCTATCCTTTAGACAGTGCTATCATACTATTAGTGAATAGGTAGCTCCATCGTTGAATGTTTGAGGGACAATCGAAGAGACGTTACAATCACGAAGGTAACTCGTGGAGACACTTTAGCAATTTTGTTTAGGGACTATATCATTTACCGAGAGATAACTGTAGGGTCATCGAGAGACTATGATCTTTTTGATTTGCGGGTCTTTACTAAAGCGTCTCCCTTTCGAGGGACATGACTGCTTTATTTCCGAAGGCAACCAAAGTGGGGTACCCTAGAGGTGTATATGTGCAATTGTGTTTAGTTCAAGTATTTATCTTTTGTGTTAGGTTTGCTAACGTTTTAATTTTAGTCTTGTCATACATGCCTAGTTACTAGCAATTAATATGTACAAAATATAAAGTGCGAAAGTATAAACCTATACTATTACATGGCTTTGGGGAGGGGATTTACAATGTACAAAAATTGGGGGAAGAAAAATAAAGAAAGCGGATAAAATCCTATTAACTATTACATCCAGTGTACAGGTACAATAATGTAAAAATACGAAATAAAATAAATAACGCGCGGAAGTTAAAAGTACGTCTAATAACCTAGTAAGTAAAAATGAAATAAGAAAATATTTTTATTGTTCTTTTTTATTTTATTTAAGAAAATAATTAATTAATCTTAAAATCTATTAAGAAAATAAAATAAAATTAAAAAAAAGTAGTCTAAGTTCTTTTTGATTTTTGTATTATGAAAAGAAAATAATTAAAACTAAATTAAATCCTAAATTCTAATTTATTTTAAATTAAGAAAATAGTTAAAATTATTTATTAATTTACTTACAAAATTAGTTTAGTAATAAAAAAAACTTAAAACTAATATTTTTGTGATTTTGATTATTTTTATAATTAAACAAATAA